GACTTTAGATCAGATCGTGCATTACCCAAATTATTAGATGCAGGAGCCAAACCATACAGTATCTGTAGCTGCGCTCTTAAGGTCCATTCTGAAGGCTACAAGATTTTTGGTATCCAATATGACGGCAACGAATGTTACTCTGGTCCATCGGCCCGTTTAACCTACAATAAGTATGGACTTTCAACTAAATGTAAAGATGGTCTAGGAGGATCATGGGCAAATGATGTTTATGAGTTATTTTAAGGTAAGGACAAAAATAAAAGCAGGGATAGTTATTATGCAGCCATCGTCTTGTTGAGGGATTAAAGCGCTGAAATGTTGAATGTTGAAATATTAAACAAAGCTTTATCTTGAATCTTATTCCAATATGCCTCCTGTACCATCGTGACATTACAATTATCTGCATTTCATTAGCGTTTTCAAAATGCTTTAATAACTATATTTAGTATTTCTTTATATGTTGTTGTATTGCAGATATTCTTTGTTTAAGAAGACACAACACTATCTGAGTATCGTTCAGCAACATCATCGTAGTGCAAAATCGGCATTCTTTTAAAAGTCTGAAAGCCAAAGGATCAGCGTGTTTCTCGATCATCCAACAAACTGTTGCCGCGCGTGGGTCGATGCAGAACCTCTTCAGGAGGAGACGACGGGGTCTGTTCTTCTAGCAACTCTTCTTGTACGAATTTTTTCCTGGGAAAGGGATTTTGAACTACATTGCTGACAAACTTACAAGCAAATTAAATGTGGCGGCCTTCCTTCTTTAAAATAATTTTGTTCCTGTCAAAAGATTTTACAATTTTAAGGTCAAAAAAGGCTTATACATTTTTTAGTTAGAAAATTTCCCGGCAAAAACGTCTTAGAAAGTATTGCTTGCCTGGAGAGTTCTTTTTTTCCCTGAATTTCTCGCTGGCAACCAGTTGTGACTTACAGCTGGCTGGGACATAAGAACAGATATGTTTCTCCCAGCAACCCGTCGGCTCCTCCTATCGCTTGCTTTGAATTCGGCATTGACCAAGCACGAGGCACGACCATGCCACGATGTGAAAAGATCTCATGAATAGGCTCGGCGTCTGATTCGGGTCCAATGATATCATATCGGAATATACAAATATGTGACTTTTACAGAGAAAGAGGTGGAATTCTGTTAAAAATTACTATGCCTTCAAACGGTTTTTCTTGTTATTTGTGGGACTGCATTTCTCATATTTTCAGTTTTTGGAACGACCATCGAATAATAACCCAATGCCGTTTTGTGTATTATATATTTTTCCTTAAAAACCTTTTTAATGACACAATGAATTACTTAATTAACTTAAACATCGAAAGCAATCATATAAATTTATTGGGCCTACGGCGTCCATGTCGTTCAATTAATTCTAGCGTACAGTGCAAAAAAATAAACCTCCGAAATTTAATAAATTGTCAAAAAATCGTCAGTCTCATGATTTACCCTCAGCGTCGANAATCTTATTCCAATATGCCTCCTGTACCATCGTGACATTACAATTATCTGCATTTCATTAGCGTTTTCAAAATGCTTTAATAACTATATTTAGTATTTCTTTATATGTTGTTGTATTGCAGATATTCTTTGTTTAAGAAGACACAACACTATCTGAGTATCGTTCAGCAACATCATCGTAGTGCAAAATCGGCATTCTTTTAAAAGTCTGAAAGCCAAAGGATCAGCGTGTTTCTCGATCATCCAACAAACTGTTGCCGCGCGTGGGTCGATGCAGAACCTCTTCAGGAGGAGACGACGGGGTCTGTTCTTCTAGCAACTCTTCTTGTACGAATTTTTTCCTGGGAAAGGGATTTTGAACTACATTGCTGACAAACTTACAAGCAAATTAAATGTGGCGGCCTTCCTTCTTTAAAATAATTTTGTTCCTGTCAAAAGATTTTACAATTTTAAGGTCAAAAAAGGCTTATACATTTTTTAGTTAGAAAATTTCCCGGCAAAAACGTCTTAGAAAGTATTGCTTGCCTGGAGAGTTCTTTTTTTCCCTGAATTTCTCGCTGGCAACCAGTTGTGACTTACAGCTGGCTGGGACATAAGAACAGATATGTTTCTCCCAGCAACCCGTCGGCTCCTCCTATCGCTTGCTTTGAATTCGGCATTGACCAAGCACGAGGCACGACCATGCCACGATGTGAAAAGATCTCATGAATAGGCTCGGCGTCTGATTCGGGTCCAATGATATCATATCGGAATATACAAATATGTGACTTTTACAGAGAAAGAGGTGGAATTCTGTTAAAAATTACTATGCCTTCAAACGGTTTTTCTTGTTATTTGTGGGACTGCATTTCTCATATTTTCAGTTTTTGGAACGACCATCGAATAATAACCCAATGCCGTTTTGTGTATTATATATTTTTCCTTAAAAACCTTTTTAATGACACAATGAATTACTTAATTAACTTAAACATYGAAAGCAATCATATAAATTTATTGGGCCTACGGCGTCCATGTCGTTCAATTAATTCTAGCGTACAGTGCAAAAAAAATAAACCTCCGAAATGTAATAAATTGTCAAAAAACCTTCAGTCTCATGATTTTCCCCTCAGCGTCGTCCAAAGGCTTTGCGTAGTGAAAATAACACATTCAAGTTTTCTCTATTTATTAGAAGTAAAAAAAGGTATTTGACGACATAATTTAATTTCAAATGTAATTATATGATAAACAGAATATTACATGGCCGCTTGGAGACGATACGAATTTTAACTTCTCGCGTTGAAAATCTTTCAAGAGATTTGAGATCTTTTCAACACTCGAACTGGATAAACTCGGATCCGTATCTCCGCGCGCC